GGTATGACATCAGCTTGAGCGTCCCAGTACTATCAAGCTCACATATAAAATACAAGTCAGCTAAACAATGATATATCAAAAGATTCCTCCTAAGCCAACTACTTTTCGTCTGTGCGTTTCTCTGCCGCCCAAATCTTAGCTTACACATCTTTTGAACGCATCAGAGAATTGTTATGTACTTATTGCAGGTAAAGCTTTAATGCAATACGAAGGATACGCAGCATTCCTTTTTTACCCCATGCTTTTAATAATTTATTTACTACGTCATTAATAATTTAAAATTAAATGACATTATCGAAATTACCTTTGGGGTAGATCTTTTCGACATTCATCAGCCCCATTTCTCATCTTTGCTGAGGCACTGTAGTCATTTTCGCTCCGAATTTGAGCCCCATCTGACCTACTGACTTACATCAAGTTAGACCAGGACTGCAATCCAGCATGATGGTGGATTGGATGCAATACTTTCTAGGCCTTATCTCGCCTCATTCAGTGCGATCTGCCAGATGGGCCTGAAAAAGTCAGGTGACAGACTCCCTCTCAACTTAGGGATGATAAGGAACTCCGTTCCATTTGTCAAGAAGGCTACTTTAGAGCCAGCCTAGAGTTTGTATTGTCCGAATACTCCTCCGGCGGAACGGTTAATCAGACGGCAAGGTGTTTACTATCGCCTACGACTGATCGGGGCTAACCTATGCATGTAGTTTTCCTTCTTTCACGCACCTTCATTTTACATTATTCTTGGGTTGTTTTTGTGAATCTGACTCCCTAAAATTCTTCTAAGTGCTATGAAATTCATATGTCCGACCTTATCAGTAAAAGTGACTAATGCACATGAGGCTTGTATACACTAATGGGATAGCAGCCATAATAAAATTGTTAATTGTACTTTGCGGTGGCTGAGTACGTAAATGTAGATCGGACGTTGCTGTTGACCGTAAATGAATAAGTGGAGTAAAGGTGGGAAACTTCTGTGAAAGCATGGCACAGTACAAGAAACGACGTTTCGAATTGATGGCAATGACCAAGGGTTGTTCGTTCTAGTTGTGATCCTTGTTCTGATAGGAGATACAGGGAGTGGAACTTGCACGTGGGGCAACTACTTGCTGGTTGAAATGTCAAAACTACTAGTGCTTAGGGAATTTTTAAGAAAAATAACTAATTAAGAATTTTCGACTGATATAATAAATGTCCAAATGGAGTGGTTAGGGTTGTTTAATTGTAAGATACTTTACTGGCGTTATTTAGAAAAAAACTCTCATAATTTTTACGCCAAATTCTTTTGATTCTCTTCTTTCTTACCTGACAGGCTTTACGCAACTTGCACATTTCCGCCGTGCACAAAGTTATTCGTGAACAGTATGCCAGGCTGGAGGACACCCGCAATAGTTTATCACAGTCTCTTGCCGTGGCCTCTTCACCTTCCTCAGTCGTCCATTCACAAACTGAGCTCAAAAAGAACCTGTCTTTCAACGAAATGTCCTCGGAACTACTTGACTCTAGGGACCTGGAGCATCTCAGCCGTGTGAACGCTGAACTGGGTCCTATGCTAAAGGCCAGACGAGAATTGACTGGCATGCTCATCTGTCATCGAAAGGTCAATTTCATAGGTCATGTCAACTCTCGCTGTGTTTTTTATTTCTGCAAAGCTTGACTAGCCGCAGCGTTTTATAGACGTTTAGAAGCTGACTCTTAGCCATGCTCAGTAACGGGCCTGACAGTGGATACCTACAGGCCTAATGTCATTCTGCCTTTTTCTTGGTCTCTTTGCTAGAAGTAAACTGCATATATCAAAAAGATGTATCGAGGCTTTTGAGACTACCAGTAGATCTGATAAAAGGGCTGTATTCACCATATTTTGTTTAAAGTGGTGAAGGACTGACAGTTGATTTTTTTCCTAATCGTATGAGTAGGCCTCATGTTTTATTTGAATTACATACAGTCTTGCTTCCCAAAAGGCTTTATCGTCCAGAGTGAAGTAGACTGCGGTTTTGAACTCATCAGCATCTCCAGCGAGACTAGAACCCGAGGATTGGTAGTGGCTAACGTGTTGAGACTATTCTGTGCTAGCCGGGTTTCGAATCCCGCTGGGGAGCTGAAGAGACCTAGGCTAGGTCGAAACTGGTCCACTCTTGATGATGAAATTCAACGAAAACTCATATCATTGTGAGAAAATACAACTACTAGTCCATCATTATCTTAAATGAAATAGGGTGAATACAACTTGTAGGAGTAATAAAAGACTGTTAAAAACCATATCCATAACTTCCTTTGATGTGAGTTCCTCCCTCCAAAATGTCAACAGAATAACCGTTTAAAGCTTTAAGTTGGTGAATTTCTCTCTCTTTGGTCTGTCTAGCCTATGATTAGACTCTTGAATGTGGCTTAACACTAAACGAGTGCCCGGCAGACTTTATAGCAATGTTCGTAGCTTTGAATTTAGTAATCATATTCACAGAAGTTAGATATAGTAAGTCAAATAAAGGCCAAAATTGAAGCTGGTTATGATAACATTATTCATACTTTAGATACTCCTGACTTTACGGCACACTAAGCTCATACACTAAACACACTGTTTTCTGCTCTGATATTAGCCATAGGAAGAAAATACTCTGAGCACTTTTCATCGTAACAGAAGAAAATAGCTCTGAGGGCAGCGTCAACCAGAAGACTAAGAAGGCCTTAAAAGACTACTAGAAAATCAACTTTTCTTAGTAAAAGTCACCTTCTTTGTTTATCTTTAATGTAATCGGCTAGCTTGGTAACCAGTTGAATTCCGTTGCCTAAATCACTGGTTCCCAAACTTTTCCTAGTCGCGGCGCCCTTTTGCAATTACAATTTTTCCATGGCGTTCTGAGTATGACTATTCGTAAGTAAGAGATAAAAATAAATAAAACTCGTGTATCTTCATTATTTTTTTAACCTTATTAACATTAAATTAATATTTAATAATTAATGTGATGGATGAGCCTGCAAATCACTGCACGTTTTCTCAAATTGAAGCTTTTACAATATTTCGCGGCTCCCCGGGGCACCGCTGTGCACAGTTTTGGAATCACTGGCCTAAATCAATCCTTCAACGCTAAGCTAGATGTTTTATTTGATATAGTAAATGATGCAGAGACGAGACCACATTCCAGCGCGAATTATGACATTGTTGCTAGTACCAATTGATCACAACCAAGGAGAATGACTTGATGTGGCAAGCTGGGTATCGTTCGTCGTTCCACAAATTGATTATTATTATTGTGTAGAAGATCAGGACCCTTACTAGGGGCATATTTTTGGTGAATTTAACCGTCATTAGATCACACCAAAAGACTGAATTTCAAATGTTCTAACAGAACGCGATTAAACCAACGATCTTGTGACTATTGGCTCAGTGCTTAATTTATATACCAGGATGTCAAGATCTGCTTGTAATGATTCTCCTATTACGTTTCCATCTACTTTTTGAATGGAAGCTATCTAGTTTCCACTGCTTAACAAATCTTCTTATGGGCACTTTCTCATGACCACATTTTGCTTTCCTCTCAAGGTGTAAAGTCTAGGCTACTTGTGTGGAAGTTAGAGTGGTTAAACGTTGAAATTTTTCATATACCGACTTTTAGGAAGATCGAATCAAGTCGATTTGCTGTTTTTTGTATAACCTATCTATATTTCTATCTCTCCATTTCTTACCTAAACACAAACATACGCACAAACAACAACCAGATTATGAATGAGCTGACAAAAATGGAGAACATCGAGGACATCCGCAGGGCTGAACTGTCTCTTCTCAACTCAGGCAGCGGGGAGGCTGTTGCTATGCCTTGTGTTGAGCCAAGTGATGCCATGGTAGGGGAGCCACCAGACAAGGAGACACAACCAACAGGAAATGAAGCTGACAAAGAGAATTCGATGGCCCTCGGACTGGCCCAAGAATGGCTGTGCACTAAGTTAAAATCCTTACATGCACGCCCTACCCTTATTAAAATCTGTTTTACTACCTTCTTTTCCATCTTTATTCCCTGAGTCTAGTAGGTAAGGCCTTAACAATTAAAATTTAATATATGAGTTGTGTTCACCCTATTTCGTTTAAGGTGATGAAGGACTGGCAGTTGATTTTTACCACGATATTATATGAGTAGAGCTGACGCTTACATTGAATTTAATATAGTCTTGCTCCCTCAAAAAGTGTTCTCATCCAAGGTGGATTACAGTTTCTACCTTGCATAGGTCTTATCAAAACCCCAAACGGGAGTCAAACTATGACTGCGAAATTCAATATAAATGTACGGTCTACTCACATCCTTGGGGGAAAATTCCACTATTTTGTGCCTAAAGGCTGGCTCGAGCTTGGAACCTGGAACCTTTTCCTTAGACCAAAGTTTAATAGAAAATTTTATATTTTTTGTGGGGCTGTAATGAAGAATTTTTTGTGTGACAAACTTTCTCATTTATTATACGACACGTTTAGGCCGTTTCTGTCAGGATCCGAAACAATCTGGAATTTAGATTTTTCCACAACGTAAGTAGAGTCTCTTCGTGTAATCTTAGTAGACCCCTTTTTACTTCAATTCTGACCGAACGAAGTCATCCTGGGCACATTTTTTTCGCGACAGCTCTTCACAGAGCACAACTTGGTTCATCTAATTCTACTTTACCATCCACACTAAGGAGATTAAGCCACACATAATAGGCGTTTACAAAATGCTTTCCCGGCCTGGTCATTGCGCTAGAATGGCTATTTGGCAATCAGATCCCTTATTCATCTGCATGCCTGATCTGGTGTTATTCTCGTTGGAATTTTGGAGGTCGCCATGCAGTCATCCTAAGGCTGATAAGTACTGCGGGTTGTTCTGGGCCTGTTCATCATAAAATCTTAATAGCCTACCCGATGGACGGATATTTTGATGGGCCGATAGGGGCGCATTGGGTTCGCGTTCAGAGACAAATACAAGATAAAGTATTTGTGTATGTTTGTAAAGAAAAAGTGAGTTTTGAAGAATCCCTTTATAATTGTTTGACATTGGATTCTCATTTCGTAGAACTATTTGGGTGGAAAAGGATTAATAGATTAGCCTCACCGGAAAACGGAGGATCGTCTTGCAGTTGGGACTGTTGTTTTTGCGAAAAAAACCTCAGCACACCCTCCTGCTACCTCAATCCATGCTTACTCAGCATTTCTTTATTTCACCATGACATGTATCATCATAGCTTGGAACCACTATTTAAACCTAACCAAGCATGAAACCAATAATGGTTCCAGCTACAATCTGACATAATGAGATATTTTATGATTTGATTGACTACTTCACGCTTCTCTTTGCATGAAATGTTGATGCCTGCATTGCGCGCGATTACATGAGTTGTGCATGCACACCATGCTTATGTGTCACTTGAGACTTTTCGATCTCTTGTCAGACCCTGCTTTAACCAAGCTTCATATTTATAATCTGTGGTTCATCCTTACCCTTCTTCTGATCCTGCAATCATTCCTTCATTTTAAAATGTTTCCAGCTTTGTTGAGTTATATTTATTCCATAGTTTTTCATCTAACTGCATAATATAAATAACCTACACGAGTTTGTGATTTGAAGCATTTAATGGGCTCAGACAGTTCACGTTTTTCGACCTTCAAATATTTGTGGACGATTTTGCTTTCATATGATCTCTTATGATTGAGTCAATAGAGTCTCCATAAAATAGAAACTGCCACCTACGAACCGCGCATCATAACAACCTGATTTGGACCGTGGTTTAGAATCAAGGAGAGCTTGATCATCTCTTTTTCGTATTCAATTACCTCATTAGTTATATCTTTTTCCACAGCTGACAGGATTGCATATTCCCAGTCTTGCTAGAAAGGCTGATTACATCTATCCTGCTCCCTAGTTAGGATCAATGTTTATCAATTAAAATGGAATGTTATTGTTAATAAAAAACCTGGTCCTGGTGATTTGCTTCTGTCCGACGGAAACTTCTTATAAGCATTGACTGCATGGCATCTACTTCAACATTTTAATTAGGGTTGGGAAAGAAACTCGTATTTGTGGATGGTCCACACACCTTCATACTTAATATAGTTGCTTTTGTAGCAAAAATGAAATCCATAAAAAGTAACTTTTCAACATTTATCTAGCTCAATAGTACATCTATTCATCTGGCCCATTCTCTCAATTAATCCATGAAATTCATTCAGACTCGCTGTGTCACATTGACAAAGAGAAAATTCGTATTTTCTATGCCCAGTAACCAGGAGGCCTTCTTGAATTTGATAACCTAGTGATTTAGTTTTTTACAAAAATTTGTGCCAAACACTGTGCATATCCTAATCTCGAATCTACTTAAACAATTAAAGGTAAAATATGTGCTTTTCATTAATAAGTTTTTCGATCTAGTGGATGACTCGGATTAACATAATTTTCATTATAGTCTTAGAAAATCGGTGGTATGTTAACTCCAAAGACTACTTTTTAACCATTGGCGTATTCTAGCATAACGATTCTAAAACGAAACTCACAAGAAGATCCATCAGTTCTAGCATTTACTGATCCACTAACCTTATGAAATCACAGGAATTCCTTAGTACACTCTTCAGGTATTCGGAGGGTGCTTTAATTGGATATAAATCAATTGCCACGTATATATCCCGCAAACCGTATTCCTTTA